GTCCTGGATGCTGTTGGACCCTGCCCAGCTCCCCTCCATTTTGGCCAATGCACCCATCTCCCGGCTGCTGTGTGTGATGGCTGTTAATGGCTTACAGGTATCCCCATGTCCAGATAACTGCCCTCAACTGCACAGAAGCCTCCTCACCTGGGAGGTTACTCTACCTTCCCACCTTCATCCCCAGCAGCCTACAGCAGTGACTGACTATATTAGTCAACTGAGGCCATCATACCACAGACTGGGTGGCTTAAACAACATTCATTCATTCATTCATTCATTTGTGTTTGCAGTTCTGGAGCCTGGAATGTCCAAGATCCAGGTACCAGCAGCTTCAATTCCTGGTAAGCACTCACTTCCTGGCTTGCAGATGGCCACCTTCTTGCTGTATCCTTCCTTGGTGGAGACAGAATGATCTCTCTCTCTTCCTCCTCTTAGAAATCCATGAATCTCATCATGAGGGCCCCACCCTCATGACCTCATCTAACCCTAATTACCATCCAAAGGTACCATAGCTCTAAAAACCATCACATTGGGGGTGGGGCTTTAAGATACAAATTTGGGGGAGACATAAGTCATCCCATATCACTGACTGACCTGGAACATGACAGACCAGTCCCCTTGCCCCAGTGTGGGACTGACTCTGTGATACAGTGCTTGGTGAGGAATTCCACCAGTTACCAGGCTGAAGAAGCCTTCCAAGGAGATCACATGCTCGCTGAGCTTTTTCCCTGCCCAAGGAAGGAAGCATGCTTCCTTCACTTCTCTTTTCCCACGAGCAGCCCAATAAATCACTGGATCAAGAATCTCCATCCTGGCTCTATTTTTACAGAACTCAGCCACAGCACCAGGGCTCTTTTCTATCATCAATCAATCAATAATCCCATGCTGAGTATGGAATGTGCCCAGCATGGCGTATGGGCAACAGCAGGGCATTGTGACATGGGGCCAGAGGCCTGATGCTCACCCCTGCTCTGCATGTGACACTGGTCAAGGAGTTCAGCCTTGCTGAGACTTCGTTTTCCTTTTCTTATGGTGGCAACAACACGCCCTTCTTTAGCTAAGCCCAGTGTCAAAGTACTTGGAAAAGCACAAAGTGCTATTAAACCTCTTTATAGGTTTGCCTGTTCTGAACATCCCAAAGAAATGAAATCCTACAATATGTGAACTTCTGTGCCTGACTTCTTTTCTTAACATATTGTTTTCAAGGTTTATCCATGCTGTAGCATGTATCAGTACTTCTTTTTTTTTTCTACAGAGTCTCACTCTGTTGCCCAGGCTGGAGTGCAGTGGCACGATCTCAGCTCGCTGCAGCTGCTGCCTCCCAGGTTCAAGCGATTCTCATCCCTCAGCCTTCCAAGTAGCTGGGATTACAGGCACCCACCACCATACCTGGCTAATTTTTGTATTTTTAATTGAGACGGAGTTTCACCATGTTGGCCAGCTGGCCTTGAACTACTGACCTCAAGTAATCTGCCTGCCTCGGCCCCCCAAGGTGCTGGGATTACAGGTGTGAGCCACCACGCCCAGCCAGTACTTCATTTTTTGTGTGGCAGAATAATATTGCATTCTATGGACATACCACGATTTGTTCATCCATTCATCAGCTGATTGACATTTGGGTTGTTTCCACTTTTTAGCTACTATGAATAATGCTGCTATGAACATTTTTGTTCAGGTTTCTGTAAATATACGTTTTCCATTCTCTTGGGTGTGTATTTAGATGTGGAATTGCTGGATCATATGATAACTCTGTCTAACCCCTTTCCTTTGTGTTGCCATGACACCTTTATCATATATTAAAAACTTTATATGTGTGGATCTTTTAAAAAATACTGGTAGCTATTTAATTCATGTGATGAGAGCCCTAAGCATGTAGATATTTTGCCCCTAAATTTAAGGGGGCCCCAACTTCTGCCCCTCCCTCATCCTTCATTATGAGTTGAACTGTGTCCCCCGCAAAAGATATTTCAAATTCTAACCCCAATACCTGTGAATGTGATCTTATTTGGACTCAGGGATTTTGCAGATGTAGGCAAGTTAGGATGAGTTCACACTAGACGAAGGTGAGCCCTAATCCAGTGACTGCTGTCCTAATAAGAAGAGGAATTTTGGATACAGAGTTACACTGTGAAGAGTGCCTGGGATGATGGAAGCAGAGACTGAAGGGACGCATCTCCAAGCCAGAGAGCACCAAGGACTGCCAGCAACCACTGGCAGCTGGGACAGACCTCTCAGAGCCCTCCAGAAGGGCTGGCCTCAGAACACTGAGAAAATAAATGTCTGGATTTTTTGTCTGTTTGTTTCTCAATACAGCCAGGATCTCTCTATATTGGCCAGGCTGGTCTTGACTCCTAGCCTCAAGCCGTCATCCTGCCTTGGCCTCCCAAAGTGTTGGGATTACAGATGTGAGATCTAGTTTTTGTTTTTGTTTTTTGGGACAGAGTCTCGCTTTATCACCCAGGCTGGAGAACAGTGGTGCAATCTCAGCTCACTGCAACCTCTGCCTCCCGGGCTCAAATGATCCTCCTGCCTCCCTCCCGAGTAGCTGGGATTACAGGCATGTACCACCACACCTGGCTAACTTTTTGTATTTTTAGTAGAGATCGGGTTTCGCCATGTTGTCCAGGCTGGTCTCCTGAGTTCAAGTGATCCATCCACGTTGGTCTTCCAAAGTACTAGGATTATAGGTGTGAGCCACTGTGCCTGGCCTTTGCTTTTTTTTTTTTTTTTTTTTTTATGTCTTGTCTTAAGCCACCCAGTTTGCGGTATTTTGTTATGGCAGCCATAGCAAACGGATATACCTCCTATAGGTGTGTACTGAGAATCAGGGGCTTGTGATCCAGGTTCTCAAATGTCACAGCGTATCTATGATTCAGGGGAAGACTTTGACTTTGAACTTGAAGAAACATTGTGCTGTACCACATCAGAACAAAGACTTCCTAAGGAATGCCTGTAAGAGGTACCCTAGCAAAACCACAAAAGGAATAAACATGGTGGGGACATAGAGAAACTAAACTAAGCTAAAAAGTAACCTAGTACACAGTACTTTTGAGTCAAACTGACCTGGGTGAGGAAGTGTGTTTTCTGATGGGCAGAATGATAATAACTCACCTCATTTGAGTTGCTGAAAAAATGTAAATCAGATACTGCCTGTAAGTGCTTTTCACAATGATTAACACATTACATTTTAAAAACTCAGTACATGTTAGCTATTGTTTTATTATTATCATGAATGGTGTGAGCTCTTGGAGTATAACTCCTCTAAGCCTCGGCTGCTTTGTTCATAAAGCAAGAATAATAGAAGGTCGGGCTCTGTGGCTCACAGCTGTAATCCCAGCACCTTGGGAGGCCGAGGTGGGTGGATCACTTGAGGTCAGGAGTTCTAGACCAGCCTAGCCAACATGGTGAAACCCCGTTTCTACTAAAAATACAAATATTAGTCAGACGTGGTGGTGCGTGCCTGTAATCTCAGCTACTCAGCAGGCTGAGGCAGGAGAATTGCTTGAACCCAGGAGGTAGAGGTTGCAGTGAGCTGCGATCGCGCCACTGCACTCCAGCCTGGGTGACAGATGAAGACTCCGTCTCAAACAAGAATAATATAGATTTTGCAATGTTGTGAAGATTGAAAGAGATAACACGTAAGGTTTAGAGCACCGCACATCCCATGCGGTCCATAAGTGTGGGCTGCCTGCAGTCACGCTTTGGAATGAGTGTAGTTTCCAGTGAGTGACACCAGAGGGAAGCAGAGTCTTATTTTTGTCTCTCCAGCATCGGGAACCTCAGACAATCAGTGGGGAAAACTGGCTTTTCTTGAACCTGAAACTGCGGGATTTCCCCTGGGAACCCCAAGCATCCCACTGGGAGGCGGGCAACCACTTGGAGGAAAACCTAATACAGTTTCTAAAATCTCACTGTGCTTCACAAAATCTCAAGTCTAAAAGAATTATACTGTCCAGGGATAAGTATTTTTCAGCTTTTACACAGTTTACGCAAAGCCCCTCCCCAATCCAGGGCTCAGCGCATCAGAGCTACTGAACCATTCTGAGGCCTCAGAAACAGATTAATTTTTCAAAACCAATCTCTTCCATCATCAATTTCCTGAGTTACCAACTCATAAACTCTTGTTTATATTCATTAGATACATAAAGTCCACAGGAGTTTGTCACCAGCCTTTGAGAAGAAATTCCTGCAACGTTTTAGCTCCACTCCCAGCCGGCTTAGTGCTGTTTTTACTGGGACTTACGGCTGAGTATTCCTCAAGCCAGTGTAACTGAGTTGCAATTTTGCTTGAACTTTCCATATCAGAGCCAAGTATGTCTTTAATGCTCGGATACATGAGTGACAGCCCCCGCCCCCAGTCCCTCCTCTCACTGCATCTCCCAGAAGACTATATCATCCTGTTTTCTAATTATCATGAAATATTTTAGGCATGCAGAAAGTGTAGAGAATAATATAATATGGACCAGCAAAGCCACCATCAGGTTCAAGAAAGAAATATTTCAAATATGTGGAAAGACCCTGAATTGCACCCCCTAACCCTCCTCCTTCCCAAAACATTATATTCTCCAAATTTGGTGCTTATCATCAAGACTCCATTTTTCCTGCTGGAAAAGTTTGGGGAAGAGCAAACTTCCCTTCTCTGCTATCTGAGTAAAGAAAATGCAACTATCCACTCCAAAAAATTACTGTAAAAAAGAGTGGGAAATGAGAAGGAGGGAAGGGAAACGGAGGATCCTGTGGAAGTTAGAAATCCAAGGAACTCAGACGTCTCCTCTCTGAACCCAATTCAGCCTGGGTGCTGATGAACATAGCTTTGAGGGTGTACAGTTTCTAAGGACCCCCTTGTTGCAGGGAGGGGCTTTCATGGGCAGGCAGGGGGCAGAAGCAGTGCCACATCCCCTCCCTACTCCCTGGACCGCCCCACCCCTCCATCAGCCTCCCCTCCTCAATCACATGGGTCAAGCAAGGTCAGGAACGACTGGAGCCCCATGGCCACCTACCGAGGACAATGAGGACGTCCCTGTCGATGTGGGCCTGGATGTAGATGCGGCCGCGGCGCTCCGTGTGGTCCGTGCCACACAGGCTGGGGACGTTCATCACGCAGCGCTTGTGCACATTCATCATGCAGGCTGTGAGGGCAGAGAAGGGATTCGGCTTAGGCTGGCTCAGGCTGGGGGCTGCAGACATCTGCCCCACCCCGGACCTCCGAGCCCTGCCTGTTCCCCTCCTTTGAGTCAGCTGAGACCTATGAGACTGGCTGAGACCAACTTGCCTGCCAGGATCTCATCAGAAGGGCTTCTCCAACTCTCCCCACTGAACCCTGATGGACAACGGAGGTGGAACTTGTCTGTTCCCCACCCAAGGCCAAGGGTGCAGCCTGAAGAAAGCACACACCACACCCCTAGAGGCTCTGAAGCCAGAGTCACCAACTTCAATGCTCACGGGCTGGCTGGTCACATGAGTGAGGAAAGCTAGAACAGTGGTGGGGACTTGGCCAAGCAGGGAACAGAGCAGCAACATTTCCCATTTCTCAACATAAGCAGGAATCTCGATGTGTGTGTTGACATCTCTTGATTTTTAAATATTGACAGCTAATAGGTTGGGTTCCCTGGAAAGAGTCTGAGATGGGGAGTTTTGAGCACGAGGTTCCTGGGGAGTGTTCTTGAGGGGAGAAGTTGGCCTGCCACGTGGATGCCACCAAACTGATGGTAAGGAAAGCCCAGAGCTGAGATGACCCTTCAGAGTTGTTCCAAACTGAGAAAAGAGGGCCGGGCACCCCAATCATCCAGCGGATCTGGAAGGGGCATTACCTTGGGCAATTATGCAGGACGGGGAACCGCTGTGAACCCTCAGCTAGGGAATGGGGTGGGACCCTGAGTAGGGGGTCTGGGCTGACCGTAGTGTTCACCACAATTAACTACAAGGAAAAAACTTTAGAGCCTGAAATGTGCCTGCAGGCTGAATGTGGCCTGCTGCCATCTCCCTTGTTACAGGATAGATATCCATTCCCACTGTGCACTCCTCTGTAGAGTATCTGTGTCTATTTCAATGTGGTGGTGATTTCCCCTAGGTCCTGAGCAATAATGCCCTGCTCCAGGAAGGTGTGCCAGGAAGTCAAGATACTCTAGGGGGACACTAGTTCCAGTTGGAGAAGCCAGAAGGAGAGGCCGAGTCACCACATGGGCCCCAATTTCAAGGGATCTGAGGGCAGGGACCCTTCTCAGGCCACCCAAGTCCTAGGAGGCAGCAGGTCTATCATAAAAACTGCAAATGAGTGGTGGGGAGGGAAGGGAGAGCCCTCTGGGACTCGAGCACTAGCCTAAGCTCCCACTCACTGCTGTCTTTGAGGTAGGGGCATTGTCCCTACATTAGGGCCCCACGTGTGGTAAGAGGAGCTGCTGTCCTACAGGCGGGCCACAGCCTCACTGTCCCCCTGTGGCTCTTGCCATGTCTCTGTGTCTGTCTGTCTCTGTCCCCAGGTTGCTGTGTGTCTCTGGCCCCTGCTCTCCCACTTCTACGTGTGTCTCACTGCCATGGCCACATCTGTGAATCAGTCTGTTCCTTCCACTCTCCACACTCGTCTCTGGCCTCTTTGTCTCCCCACTTCTCTAGCTGTGTCTCTCCGCCTTTCTCCCCTGTGTCTCTCTGTGACTCTCCATGTGTGCTTCTGTCTCTGTCTCTGGTCTCTCCATCTCTACACCTCTGCATGAGGCTGTGTGATGGCATCACTCTCTCTGTGTCCATGCCAACCATTTGTCTTTTCTTCTTCTTTGAGACACAGTCTCACTTTGCCACACAGGCTGGAGTGCAGTGGCACAATTTCGGCTCACTGCAACCTCCACCTCCCAGGTTCAAGCCATTCTCCTGCCTCAGCCTCTCAAGCAGCTGGGATTACAGGCATGTGCCACCATGTCTGGCTAATTTTGGTATTTTAGTAAAGATGGGGTTTCATCATGTTGGCCAGACTCATCTCAAAATCCTGCCCTCAGATGATTAGCCTGCCTCAGCCTCCCAAAGTGCTGGGGTTACAGGAGTGAACCACCGCACCTGGCTTCATCTGTTGGTCTGTCTGTCTCCCTGTCCCTCCTTCTAGCTCAGTCTCTCTGCAGCTTCCACAGCCCCCATTCCACCTTGTGTTAGGGCTGCATGTGTCCATCTTTTCCCTGCATCTGTCTCTATCCATGTGTGTATGTTTCTCATGGTCTCTCTTACTCTCAATCACCCTTATTCACCCTCACATTTCTCTCTGTAACTCTCTGCCCTGTGAGTTCCTCCCTTTGTCCTCTGGGCCTCAGGACCCCTGTGACAGAGGTAGCATCAGCCTCGTGGCTGCCTAGACTGCTACAGACCAATAGGCCTGTGGGAGCCACCAGCACCTCCAGCATCCCTGTAGCTTTGTGGTCATAGCTCTCAATGCCTGTCTGCTCCCCTGCTCCACAGGCCATCCAGGCCTTGGCCCCATAAAAAGGAGTCCTACTCCACCTGCCTTTCCCACCACACCCTGGCCAAAGAATCATGCTCTCTTGCCTCCTCCAGCACAAACTTGTGGGTGCTGCAGGGACACCCTGCAGGTCTTCTCCATGCAAACAATGCATCAACCCCACATCTCAATGCTAAAAACAGCGGTGGTGGTGCATGGCTGCAGAAATGACCACAATTTGTTCATGCCTCTGGCTGTCAGCAGCCATGGACTGTCCTTTCCCACACTGTGGCTGTGCCTCTCACATGCCACTTGCTTTGACCAGTGGATCAGGAGCAAGCAGACACAAGTAGAGACTTGAAGTGTCTGCCAATGGGACTTGCCCTCCTGAGGAATTCAGGACCCTGTGACCTCCGTGCATGCAAACCCAGGCTAGCCTACTGAGGAGCAAAGACACATGGCCTGGTCACCCACATCACCCAGATGACAGCCAGCCATCCTGTCGAACATGTGGGTGAGGCCACCAAGGCCCAGACAGCGACCAGCCCACCTCCATCTGCTAATCCACCATGAAGCATGAGTTCATGCTTTATGAACATGCATGACATCAGCTGAGGCAAGCCCAGATTCAAAGGGCTGCCTTGCAGAGTCATGAGCTAATCAAATGTTTACTGTCTTAAGCCACAGTGTTTTGGGGTGGGAGGATCATTATGCAGCAACAGATGACTGGTACACCAGCCCCAACTAAAATAGGGAGACTGCATGGCAGACCTGGATCCCAAACCAAGAGGAAGTAGCCCTTCCCATTGCTTCTGCCATCAGCAGATGCCCCCCAGAGAGAAAAAGTACTTACTGTCACATTTCATCCCCTGGTGGATAAGTCCATACAGCAGTGACCCACAATGGTCACAAAACGTGGGGCTGGAGTACGTGTGGATCTTAAACTTGTGTTTGCTCCGGGGGTCCTGGAGCCAAAAGAAACAACAGAAGGAGCCAGCGTCAGTGGAGCATGCAAGGCTTTGCCCTACGTCAAGAGGCACTGGAGATGTCACCAAGAACTGAACTTGGTCCCCAGATGTCATTGTACCTGTCGGGACCATCGCTGGAGCCCTGTGCCAGATGTGGTGCTGGATAAATAGTTGTGGAAGGAAGGAAGGACGGTGACAGCTGATTGTTCCATGGCAGCCCCATGCACACACACCCTACCTGCAAACCCTCCATCTGGGCCTGCCTGGGAACCCAACCTACAGGCTCCTGCCTGTAGCGGGGACTCCAGAGATGGGGAAACAAAGTGACAGACACATCATCTAAACAGGCCTCCTGACTTTTCTTTCTCCCAAGCTTTATTCTCCAAGCATGCTTCTGCAGTGATAAAAAACCCAAGTCTGGACATGAAACCTCCCTGCTTAGAGACCAGTGCCAGTCCCTCATCACTGACAAAGTTCAAAGCCCAAAGGACAGTCTGCAAGTTGTGGCAGACACTACTGGTTTCCCACCAATATCCATTCTTCCCTTTAGTAGCAGAACCTTTGAGTTTTAGCAGACAGCATGGCAATCCAGATAGAGGCACATTTCCCAGCATCTCTTGCAGCTTGGTGCAGCTACAGGCCTGAGTTCTGGCCAATGGGATGTGTGCACTCCAGGACCATTCCCTTCAAATGGAAATGCGTAAGTCTTTGCACCTTTCCCTCTTCCCACTGGCTTGAAGATGGTGAGAACTGGAAGTGACCGCCCTGGACCCAAACTTGGAGCCACAAGTGGAAAGGACAAAGCTACCCTACGGGCCTTGAATTTTGTCCCTTTGGGCTGACCCCTGAGAGAAAACCTAATTTCTGCCTTGTTTAAGTCACTACATTTTGGGAGCTATTTCTCACAGAAGCTTACATAATTGCCTAATCAATAAATATGCCCTTCACAGCATGGTAGTGCAGTGCAGTGGTAAAATGTAGACTTGGATAAACTTCCTGGGCTCTAAGCTGTGTAATTTCGAGCAAATTATTTGATGGTTTTTTTGTTTCCTTTTATTTTTTAAGGCACAGGGTCTTGTTCTGTCACCCAGGCTGGAGTGCAGCAGCACAACTATATTTCACTGGAGCCTCAACTTCCTGGGCTCAAGTGATTCTCCTGCCTCAGCTTCTTGAGTAGCTGGGACAACAGATGCATGCAACCATGCCCAGCTAATTTTTTTTTTTTTTTTGAGATGGAGTTTTGCTCATGTCCCTCAAGCTGGAGTGCAGTGGCACTATCTCGGCTCACTGCAATCTCTGCCTCCTGGGTTCAAGTGATTCTCCTGTCTCAGCCTCCTGAGTAGCTGGGACTACAGGTGTATGCCACCACACCCGGCTAATCTTTTGTATGCTTAATAGAGATGGGGTTTCACCATGTCGGCCAGGCTGATCTCAAACTTCTGACCTCAGGTGATCCATCCTCTCTGGCCTCCCAAAGTGCTGGGATTACAGACATGAGCCACCACACACATCTCAGCCAGCTAAGTTTTTATTTTATTTTATTTTATTTTATTTTTTGTAGAGTAGGGGATCTCATTATGTTGTCCAAGCTGGTCTTAAATTCCTGGCCTGAAATGAGCGTCCTGCCTCAGCCTCCCAAATTGGTGGGACTACAGGTGCACACTACCATGCTCTACTAATCCGATCTTTTTGTGCTTCAGTTTCCCTATCTGTAAAATGCTGATAGTGCTAGTGTTCTCCTTATAAGACTGTTGAAAAGCATAAATGAATGAACTTGTGTGGAGATCTTAGAACCACCTGGCACATAGCAAGCAGTATAAGCTTTTGCATGATTCTTATTACTACTTGGCCAAGGTGATCCCCAGCTGAGCCCCCTCCTCCCACCCACCCACATGCACACGTACCACGTACATTCTCAGCACTCAGAGCTCACCCTCACTCCCAAACACGCCATGCCCTTTGTAAGCCTTTGGCTCTCCATTTCTCTTTCTTCTTCAAGAGATTCTTTCCTCGCAGAATCAGTTTTAGTTCAAGAGAACTCTTTCTGTAAAAGTTGCTTTCTCTGTTGGACATTGTGTGCCAAGCACAATGTCTCACACCTGTAACCCCAGCACTTTGAGAGGCCAAGGTGGGAGGATCATTTGAGTCCAGGAGTTCAAGACCAGCCTGGGCAACACAGTTAGACCCCATTTCTACAAAAATAAAAAATTAGGCAGGTGTGGTGGCACATGCCTGTAGTCCCAGCTACTTGGGAGGTTGGGGCAGGAAGGTCACTTGAGTCCAAGAATTTAAGGCTACAATGAGCTATGACTGCATCGCTGTACTACAGCCTGACCAAGAGAGCAAGACCCTCTCTCTCTTAAGAAAAAAAAAAAAAAAAGACATGGCAGAAGTTAATAACACGGGCCTTAGGTTCTGACCCAGGGCTGCTCTGATATCCTAGCCTTTGGTACATGCTACCTGTTTCTTCATTCATTCATCCATTCATATGTTTTTACTGATGCTGCCACAGATGCCTCCTTTAAAATTGCATTCTAGTAACAGTGACAGAAAATGAACATGTAAGCAAATAAGGAGGCACATGACATAGACATTCTTTTATGTGCTATTAATGTGATGAGTGTTTCTCCTAGGGAAATTGTTCTTTTCAAAATCTGAAAATAATTCCATACTGTATTAGTCTGTTTTCACACCGCTATGAAGAACTGCCCAAGATTCAATAATTTATAAAGGAAAGAGATTTAATTGAATGAACAGTTCAGCATGACTGAGGAGGCCTCAAGAAACTTAAAATCATGGTGTAGTGTGAATGGAAATTAAGGCACTTCTTCACAAGGCAGCAAGTGCTGAGTGAAGCCCCTTAGAAAACCATCAGATCAAGTGAGGATTCACTCACTATCAGAGAACAGCGTGGGGGAAACTGCTCCCAGGATTCAATTGCCTGCACCTGGTCTCTCCCTTGACATGTATGGATTTTGTTTTGTATTGTTCTGTTTTGTTTTGTTGAGACAGGGTCTTGTTCTGTCACCCATGCAATGGTGCGATCATAGCTCACTGCAACCTCTGCCTCCCAGGTTCAAGTGATCCTTCCACCTCAGCCTCTTGAGTGAAGGGGCTTAAGGCACATGACAGCATGCCTGGCTAATTTTTATTTTTTGTAGAGACAGGGTTTTTGCTATGTTGCCCAGGCTGGTCTCAAACTTCTGGGCTCAAGTGATCTGCCCGCCTCAGTCTCGCAAAGTACTAGGATTACAGGTGTGAACCACCACGCCCAGCCTCAACACATTGCTTGATGGCTGCATGTGTACGCTGGCTGTCTCATGTGTACTCTCTCCAATCTTCATGACATGACATGCAGAAGGTATCATTTGTTCCCATTTTAGCAACAATGAAACAGACCCTAACAACAGAGTGACTTCACCAAGGCCAGTCAGCTGGATGCTTGCAGAGACGGGGTTCACACCAAGTTTCTCTTCCCTCTCTCCTTGCTCCCAACCTCACTCCATTGACACCTCACCTTCACATGCAGCTAAGATGGAGCTGTAATCATTCATTCATTCACATAACAAATATGTGCTGAGGGCCAAGTTCTTCCTAGCCATTGAGGATACAGCTGTGAACAAAAGAGATTCTGCTCTCATGGAACTTGCATTCTAAATCCTCGCTGTCATAGCACTTAAACCACTGAGTGGTAAATGCATGCTTCATTGCATCTCTTGCACACTTCACTGCATGCAACGTGAGGAAATCTGGCTATTGTATTATACCCTCATGGTATAAACACTATTATACCCTCGTGGTATAAACTGTACTTGGCATATAGAAGATGATCAAATAAACACTTAATAAGTAAGAGCTAACATTTATTGAACATTTACTCATGCCAGGAACTATTTTAAGGGATGTATCAGGCATTAATACATTTGATCCTCATAACAGCCCTATAAAGTACATACTATTTACTACCCCCATTTTACAGACGAGGAAGCCAAAGGCCTAAGAGACAGAGTGCTTTTCCCAGGGCAAGCACTGCATTGCACCCAGTGGTCAATGGGTTGTTGTGACAGCTGTAGGGCTGTGATCACCGCTGTTGGCCGCTGCAAACCCCTGCACCATACATGTGCTATTTTAGGAAAATGACTTAGAAGGGGCTGTGCAGCACAGATTAGAGCCAGTTGAGAGACAGGAAAACTAATTGGCAAGTTGCAGGGAAATGCTGACTTCTTGTGGTTTATTTAGAGGCTGTTGGGGGCCTCCTCTGACCTCATTCTCCTATCTCCGCTTTCATGAGGGATCTTGAGACACCAACTTTACCCACCCACTGCTGCAGTCTCTCAGACCAGACAAACCAGGTCATCCTCAATGGATTCTTCCCTCCTCCTTCCTGCTACCCGAGAGAGCTTAAAATAAAGCCATACTCCTACACCTGTGGTCGTCCTGACTCCCTCCATGACCCTCAAGGTGCATCTTTCAGGGTGCCTATCCATGTCTGCCCAGGTCCAATGCCATCTCTGAGACGGGCACCTCCCAACAGCCATGCTTGTACTTTGAGACATCCACATTCCCTAAACACAGCTGACCGGGGCCAAGGTGGACACTTGGCTTGAGGGTCACATATGTAGAGTGGCTGGGACACAGGTAATCAGTCCTGAGGCCAGCAGACATGCAGTTCCAGGGTTGAGAGTGCTAATTTTATTTTTGATTGACAAACCATAATCGTATGCATTTATGGGGTACAATGTGATTGTTCTGAATATACACACACAATGTGGCATGATTAAATCAAGAAAATTAACATATCCATCACCTAACTTGCCTATCATTTTTTTAGCATGAGACGTTTGAAATTTACTCTCTTAATTACTTTGAAATATACATTATTATTGACTAATGTCACCCTGCTGTGCAATACATCTCAAAGGCAAGTCCTCCTGTCTATCTGAAATGCTGTACTCTTTGATTAGCAACTAGCCATTTCCTTCCTACCCCTGCCTCCT